TTTATTGAAGAATTATTTTCTTATTCTCTTTAATGGTTTGAGCAATCTTTATTCTTATATCTGATAATCTGAGCAGTGTAGCTGAGGATAGTGATATGCAATGTAACAACCACTGTTGATTTGTATTAATTTGTCTTGAGACCCTGTATCACTTTGAATGTTTATGCTTTGTTTCTGTTTGTGATACTGGTATGCTGCTACTGTTCTATTTTTTGTTTGTTTGTTTGTTTGTTTATCATGTACTACTCTCTTTAAAATAAAAAAAAAAGACTGTAAAAAAGAACCTGGGGAGAGAAAGTATAAGCAATTGCTCTTGTTTCTCTAGAGAATTTCCTTTTTTTTTTTTTTTTTTTGAGAGCTTACTTACATAAGGGAGTTGTGCTGCCCGGTTTCTGTCCACAACTTCTTTCATCTTATCCAAAGTTCCATAATCGTACCGACTGAGGTGAAATCCTAGTGACCAGTATGAAGGCAGGGCTGGCCGTCCAATGAGCTGAAAGAAATATGTTAGCAGTGTTCTTTTTTTTTTTTTTTTAATTTTTCCTAAGCAGTGGTTTTGAGGCATAAGAGGTGCCTTCTTTACTAATGTACTGATTCATTAATGTCACAAAGTATATGTTCCAGCCCCTTTATGGTTAGGACCATATTTGGTGCAGCTTTATATTCTTGCACCTCTTTTTAACATAAAAATGCTGCAAGGCAAGTTTCTATTGCATACATGATATCTCAAATTTGCATACATGAAATCTAAATTTTAGCATCTCAAACTTATAATAAAGTTTTGTGGCTTACACCTTCATACTATATTTACTTTTCTTAAATACTTGTTATGTAGGATTTCCTTAGTCATAATCATGAGATCATAAGTTTACCTCTAGATATTCTTGAACCACTTGCTCTGGAGTATTTCCCAAGAACACATAGAAGTCAAGAACGCCCCCAATGGTGCGGTAAGTGATTGCTGGGGCTGGCTGGAGGGCAACCTCTTAAAAGATTTAAAAAAAAAAAAGCAAGAAAGTAATTAAAATTTATTCTAAAGTAACAGCTACAAAGTTCTTGACCAGAGGATCACTAACTATCTGAAAATTAATAATGTGATCCTAATGCCTCACATTTTGTGTACAAAGGGACAAATTCTGACACTCAAAATACACCCTCATTGCAGATGGAAACAAAAGTATTCGGTGACAAAGTGCAATAGCAGGTGACTGGAAAGTCTCAGCTCCTTATGCCAGGATCTTGGTTCTGGTGAAAAAGCTTCCAGCCTTACAGACATCCAGAATAAACTGCCATAGCATAAAAGTCATACAGGACTGAAGCATTTGTTACTGATATGCCTGATCTGCCTAAAAGTAGAACCGCCCAAAATAACTCAGTGAGCCAGGTGTGGTGGTGCACGCCTGTAATCCCAGTATTCAAGAGGCTGAGGCAGGAGGATCATTGCAAATTCAAGACCAGCCTGGGCTACAAAGTGAGCTCAAAGCCAGCCTGAACTGCATAGAAAGACCCTGTCTCAAAAAGACAAAAATAAAAACCAAACAACTCAGTGGTCATAAATCTCTTCTATTGAATTAACTTTAATATCCTCTGAGCCGATAAGCACCAATAGACACTGGCATAAAATATAACATCTCTCTTAGGGGCCCATTTGTCTTCCCAAAAAGTCACTTATTTTCCCATCTTTCTCCCTTATCCTTTCATGGATTAAGATAGTAAGACTGCTTTGAATCAAAACAATCCAACCAAGAATATCAACAATGAGAAATATCTACATTGGTAAATATTAAAATGCTCTAGTACATAGGACTCACACTCTAACCATCCCTTTCAGCTGCTCATCACTGAGCACGCCTGTGTGCATGTACGTTGCACATGTAAATAAACTCTTTTCCTTGCTGATCTTTCTTTCTGTTCATTTAAGTTGGAGGCCCCAAAAATTAAAACTAAGATGGTAGAAGAAAAGTTTTCCTCTCTCACTTTCACAACCACAGAACGTGCTGTCCTTATCCCCATCCCTCACCAGTACCGCAAGGAAATAATCCACAATGAGGGACTAACTTCCCTGAATCCCACATCAAGCAAGAGGCAAACTAAAAAAGCCAAAGCTTATTTCATAAGTTCAAAAGCCTTTAAGCTCCAGTCACCATATTCACAGCTGTCTTTTAGGTTTGGTTTCCATGTAGGGATAAAAAGGAATCTCTTTAAAGATGATTGTCCCATTGCTTAAGATTAAAATAGCCCTTCCCTGTCATCTAAACTCTAAGATAGTTTCTACCAGTTAGGAAGGGCTAAATATCTTAATTCTGTCACAGAAAATACTCCAAAGGAGGCAACCTGATTAGGGAAATGAGCAGCTAAGAGAGAATCCCTTACACATGGCTGCCATGGGCCAGCAGGTAATGAAGTATAGATGAAACAATGAGAGAGCACATAAGGCTCTAAGTGATGGCTCAATCATCCTTAAAGAGATTCATTTGTTCTATCACCTTATGGTAAAAAAAGGACTGAAGAACTGCTCTTGTGCTTGTTTCTTGCATGAATATTTCTTTGCTCCTTTACCCATGGCATTGCTGTTCATCAGAAACACCCCAAAGGATAATCCACTAGCATCTTCAAGGCACAAGAAGAATGTCTGGGCACCATACAAGTTAGTTCCATCCTGCAGAAAGAAAATTAAAAACCAGAAATGTACAGCCAAGTCTATAAAAATAATTTAAAAAACAAAATGTTGTAATCAGGTAGTTTAAACACTGCATTGCTGGACTAGCTTAGGAAATCAGTCTTAGTCATATGAGGAAATTCATGGTCAATGAAGATGCAAATAAATTTTAAAAGATGGGATTTCTCTCTGGTTGATATAAACAAAGCTATTAGTATCTTCTTATACAACAAATCTGCTGTGACCATTTATGTGACAAGAATGTGAAGGTTGTAGTGTTTGTTAGAAGGTATGGAGATGAGTATTGGAGCCGTAATTTACAAAGGTCTCTTCTCAAAGAGGCCTGCCTTAACCTGCCTGAACCTCGTCTGTTCTATCAAGTGTTGCTGTGAAATCAGCAGCTAAATGGAGCTCTTGTGTAGATTAGACTTCTAGACTCCAGAACAAGAGCTCTCCACCCTGACTAGACTCCAGAACAATTAAATCAGAATGTCTAGGGATGGAAACAGACACTGTTGTTTTCACTTCCCCCAGATAATTCCGATGTGTAGTCACATTTGATAATTGCTGCTCTAGAACAGTGTTGCTTAGAGTGTGGTGTATGCACAACTTATGCAGGGTTCTTAGTTAAACGTGGACTCCAATTCAATAGATGACGGGAGGACTGAAAGCCCATACCTCCCACAGAACAATTCTCACACGGGACGCACACTTTGAGTGGCAAGGGTTTGATAATCTTTCAGTCAATGATCATCAGCTGTTCCTGGACAAGGTGCTCTGACTCAATGTCTTCTCTGTGATGAGCATTTGTATCATAGACAGCATGGGCTTTAGGTGGGACAGAGTAGGGGTTAGATCTTTTCTCTGTTATGTAGAAACTGTTCCACCTTGGGCTATTAATTTGGCCTCTCTGAGCCTCAGTTTTGTTGGTTAAATTAGGAAATTATTCTGACTTTTTCTGGCATCTTTTACTAAATAAAAAATACATAAATACAGTTGACTAATAAATTATTTCTGCCATCTCATTTCTTTCATTAGTTGTTATTCTGAAAAGCTCCTCATCCATACATAGAATATTGCTAAGGAAATAAGAAAACAACAGTCTCAAATTTTGTCAGTCAAAACAACAAACAAAGGGCTGGGGATTTAGCTCAGCGGCACAGTGCCTGCCTGGCAAGCACAATGTCCTTGAGTTCAATTCCCGGTACCGGAAAAAAAAACAAAAAAAAAAAAAAACAAAAGAAAAAAAAAAGCCAACAAACAAAGATAAAAATAAACAAAATAACAACAACAACAAAACTCTGTTTATTCTTTCAGTACACCAATCATTCATTACACAGAAACGACTAATACACTGCTTTGATTGGGAACTTATCCTTTCTTGCTGACAAACCTCGTAACACAGTGACTTTTAAAAGTCAATGTAAAACTAAGATCATAATCAACTATTGTTCAAGTATAATTATTAATAATATTTTCTCCACAACTGACAATTTCAAAGAGAAAAAGTAATTTAAAGAAGTTGGCATTTATTGAGAAATTTGTATGTGACAGACATTCTTCTAGATACTTTTTATGTGTTAGTTCATTAAATCCTAGTCACAACCCCATGAGACAAGTATGTTACCCCCATTTTATAGATAAGCAACTGAAAGCACAGAGAGCAAAGTAACTGGCTCAGAGCCACATAACTGTAACAGAGACAGGATTCAAATTCAATAGTCTGATCCTAGTCTTACTCTTAACTCCTAAACTGCGCTGCTAGTAGTGACCTTCAAGAATGAGTCTATGGCACTCAGCAGAAAGGGGCCATCCTGACGCTTACCCCATTAGGAGCTGTGTCCCTGGTAAATATGGGCCAGGTCTTCCAATTCATGTCATGCCTGTATTGTTGATGCACATGTTCCCCCAGACCGTACACATTAGCACTCGGCAGGCGGATGGAGAGCTGCAGAAACTGATCTGCAAACAGGAGGGGCCCAATGCTTGAGTCAAACCTAGACACAGGTGAAAAACAAAGGAATGAGTGCGTAAGGGAGGTGGAGAGAACATAAGTGCTTAGAAAAGTAACTTTTAGTTCTCAGTGACTTAATCAATCCCATTTGCTCTCCTGTAACATTTTCTGGTGACTACCAAGAGATAGGACTTCTATACGGTAAGAACCATGTGGTACATCTCTTATATTTGTCACTCAGACACTTTCCCACACGACCAGAGCACTATACTTATATGATCAGAGATTGTCCAACAAATATTTACTGGTGCACAAGTAGTACCATAGGTAGAAAATGAAGAGAAAACGTGATTGTACAAACAGAAGAGAGAAAAAAAAGGTAGGTAAAAAAAATATGTACACTTTGAGATAGAGAGGCTGGGCAGCAGTAGTAGCTTACCACCTACAGGACTGAAACCTACAGCCTTCCTCTAGCTTCCAGACTTCCCTTCATTAGGACCTTCCCACTCTTTCACCCAGACAGCCTTCGAAAACTCACAGAACACGACTGTTGCTTCTTCTGGACACTTTGATGCTAAACGGCTGTTTGGAGACCTCAACTTGATAGTTCAAAGAAGCAGCAGCATTTCCACTGAAGGGCTGTACATGTTCATGGGGTACTTCATATCTGCTTTCGGTTTGGTCAGTCAACTAGACAGAATAGAAAGAAAGCCAAAACGATAACTTTTCTGTTTAAAAACACGTGTTTTCTGGTATCTGGACTGATGTACTAGAAATCAGACACTGGTTGAACTGGCATTACACCCAAGGAAATTATTTACCATGTTACCTACTTCAAATGTTTTGCAGTTGAGCATAAGTTAGCCTTTAGGGAGAGATATATACTACAATTCTGCAGAGATGGATTATCCCTAGAAAATTCAAAGCTCTGATAATTGTATTTTTCTCCTCCCTATACATTTCACATGGTATCTAGAGCAAATAAACCAAATCCAGATCCTCACCTGTTAACTCTTTAATACATATCTAAGAAGTTACCACAGAAGGAAGACTATGGAAGCTTTCAATATACAAGTGTTAAATAATAATGACATAGAGAAAAATACCTCTATTAGCAAAATGTTGTACTTGGCAGCACAGCAACTGTATCAGGTAGGGGACAAGAGCCTCTGAAAAAGATTTTTAAAAAATAAACAAACTACAAACCTTAAAGTGAAAGCGATTAGCTGTCTGGTATTCTGCCGTGAGAAAGACATTGTCAACATCATTTCCAAACGAGGATGAAGAAGGCAGAGCTTTCAACTGGGCTGTGAATCCTAACATGAAGGAAAGAAAAGGTTTAGATAGCTGAATCTGTAAATTTCTACATAATAATTAAGCTTTAGGGCAAAATGAACTAATAAAAAGCCTCTATTTGCCAAAGAAGGGAAGAAATAGATAAATATCTCATCATACTACCTTAGACCAGGTCCTGAACCTAGGTACTGCTATTATCTCATCCAAAAATCTATGCCTCTTTTTTTTAAATAAAATCTGACCGAAAATGTCCCCCAAAGATGTGACTCATTCCACCAGCCCATGGATCAGTCTGTGTTAACCAGATACCCTTCACAGTCTCACCCTCAACTTCAATACTGACATTATTTTTTTTTTTATGAAATGGGGTCTTACTATGTATTCGGGCTAGATTTGAACTCACTCTGTAGCTAGCCCAGGCTAGTCTCAAATTCACTGTGATTGATCCTACTCCCTTAGCCTCCCTTGTGCTGGAATTGCAAAGATGAGTCACCACACCTGGCTGCACTATTCTTTCTCAATTATTTTCACATTACATTTCAGGTGATCATATAAATTGATGCCATCTTCCTAAATAGTAAACCAGGTGAACGTTGAGTTCTCATAGAAAAGTCCAATGGGCCAAGAGCATCTGGAATGGGAAAACACCTCTTCCTTTACACTAAGAGCCTCCCCAGATTAGTCACCTGCTATGACCCCCATAATGTTCACTGTGATAATCTTCCCTTTAGAGTAAAAACAAAACAAGGGGATGATTGGTTCATGAACACTGATGTTGACTAAATAAACTCTGTAACAGGTTTATAAAATTAGAATGTTTCCATTTCATAAAAATTACATCAGAGTAGAATTAGAAGTAATCTCAGAAGTTACTGATTTCCAATCCCGCACTTTAAAGGTGGTAAACTTGAGGTCTAAAGTGGTACTGACCATTACGCAAGCTCACAAAGATAATAAAGGGGAAGGCAGAGCTGTAACATGATCTGTGAATCCCTAGGCAGAGAGTGCTTGTTCCTTCATGTCCAGATAGGCTCTAGTCCTTCATAAGAGCAGGGCCCACCTTCTCTCACACACAGAGGCATGCCTCCTCTTGGGGACACACAGCCAACCTCCACAGGGTCTGCACCTCCTGCCTCCTGACAGAGTCTGACTTACCTGCATTTGTGTTTAAAAGATTGCCCTCCATTTGGTAGCCATGATTCTTGGAATAGTAGCACCAAGGAATACTTATGGCTCCCTGAGGTTTCCAGCAGCAGCCACGCTGGTCACATGTGGCCTGAAACAAGACATTAGACAAAGCAACTCCATTTAGCTGTACAACATTATCTCTTGACGTATGAATCATCTAACATGAGATTATAGTGTTAATAACTTCACGTTACAAATAAAGGAATTGATCATTAGGGGATTATGCTATATCCCAAACCGTGGCAGAGCTTCTATTCACAACCAATTTTTCTGGCCAGTGTCCTTCCTATATAGGAAGCATAATGTACTCCACATCTTCCATCATAATAAAGCTGATAACTGTATTTAAATATTCCAAGCCAGGTGTGGAGGTGCACATCTGTAGTACCAGCACTCATGAAGCTGAGGCAAGAGGATTTTTGTGAGTTAGAGGCCACCCTGGGCTACATACTGAGACCATGTCTCTAAATAGATAGATACATAGATACACAGATACATAGATACATAGATAGACAGATGATAGATAGACACATACATACAAACATACATAGATGATGGGTAGATAGATAGATAGACAGAAACAGATAGATAACCCAAACTCTACCAGTTGTATCCACATTAATGCAAAATTACAAAGAGTTTCATTTATATTAGCTTCGATTCTTAAAAACAAACAAAAAGGACTTTACAATCAACTTTATTCAGAAGCTTTAAAATCAAACAGATTTTTCTTTGACTTTTAAAAACATATATATGTATATTACATGTATGTATTAAAGTCTGACATATATGCAGTCTTTCAAGTCCTCACAAGGCAGAAAGCAGTCTTTCCTTAGAATTCATATAGATTCCAGTTCTCACTTAAGAAAAGTACTTATGAAGTGGGGTGCAGTGGTTTGAATCTGTCGTTCCAATTAGTCAAAAAGCTGAAGCGGAAAGATAGATTGAGTGTAGGAGTTTAGCGGAAAGATAGATTGAGTGTAGGAGTTCAAAGTCAGCCTACCAACAGAGTGAGACCCTGTCTCAATTGTTCAATTGGAGAAAGAAAGGAAGGGAGGGAGGGAGGGAGGAAGGTAGGGGAGAAGGGGAGAAGGGGAGAAGTGGAGAAGGAGGGAAGGGCAAAAGGGAAGGGAAGGGAAGGGAAGGGAAGGGAAGGGAAGGG